CAAAATGATGTATCAAAATTAAATGATGGAGATAACAATGTAATAAAATATTCAAAAAATTTAGAAGTTGGTGGTAAAAAGGTTTTAGTGGTAGAAACAGAAGATCAATTATTAAGTGGCAAAACTGCGCCAGCATGTTGTGTCATAGGGTCACCTGAACATGTAAGTTAAAGAAAGTGCACTTCAGGTCTACTACCTCTTTATTTCGTATTTAAATAATTAAAAGTACTTATTAGGTCGCAGCATTAAAAGCGAAAATAGATGAATTGAAGTTGAATTCAGCTCGCTTAGAACAGGAGCGTGCCGAAGCATTAGAAAGATCAGAAAGCGTAACTCACCAACTTGATCATTTAGTTGAAGAATTAAAAGGATTAGGTCATGGTAGTGATACTATTCATGCAACAAGTAAGCAATTTATCTGTTGTTTATATTAACGTTTTTATAACTTTTGACGAATTCTTTTATGTTTATTGTTATCAGTTCATACATTCGGCAACATACAAAAATTAGAAATTATAGCTGACGAAGATGATGATGGTGAAAGATTAGCGGTAATTAGAATTGATATTTAGCAGAAACTCATAATCAAATGATAAATTCATTTATTTGAATTCACGATTCAGAGAAGACCAAGAGTTAGGCAATATTGGTATAAAGGCGCTTTACATAGAGAAGCTGATGAAAGATCATCTAGTTATTCGGAATTATTTTGGGATTTGATATTCGTGGCTGTGGTTAGCATTTTAGGAACGAAGCTGACGTCTGACATTTCGCTAAATGGTTTGCAAAGATTTTTCCTAACCTTGTAGGAATCCACTACATAAAAATTTGCTGTCTCAACTTGGTGGACATGAATAGATGTTTACTTACGTTTTTATACAACAATAATATACGTAGTTATCCTATATGGCGTTTGTGGACGGATACATGTCTTTATATAAACATTTATAGTTCAGGTATGTACAATTTAAATAAGTCTATTATAGCTGTAATTTTATTTTATTTTATTTTATTTTAATTTGATCTAAAATCAACAGAGGACCTTATTGAAAAGTTCATCCTCCTATGGGTAGGATTTAATGTATTACTTTAAAAGCTATCTTTCTCTAGAAGGCGTCATCAATCATTTTTCATAACAGGAAAT